TCTAAAATTACACGTATATTGTCATAAATGGTCAAAAAAAAAATTTCATTGTCATGAATGACTGTTAATTGTCATTATTGTCTTTTCGTGACAAGTTGGTTGTTATAAATAACATTTAGTTCTATATATAATAATATATAGGTGGGTTTTTATTAATCTTTAATTAATCTGGCATGTGTGACAAGTACGTCCTTAATTTATCTACCATCAAACATGTCCCTTATTTTATGGCTACCCTAACCGGGCCACAACCGAAGAGACAATCTCCTATTCACGGTTACCCTAACCGGGCCACAACCGAAGGGATTTAAATTGATCAGTAATGATATGTTCGTGTAAGCATTATCAGATCTCAAACCATACCCAATTCAGGAACTTCACACCATGACCAACATACAACTGGGATCTCACATCCCACATACAAAATACAACTCCCCCTTCCCTTTTGTAAGAGAGATTTAATGAAAACTGCATTAGTTTTTCAATTTGTAAAACCAATATCCATTTACATATACTGCTTTAGCAATTTCAATATAAAACATGATATCTGTAGATAATCATTTTAATATAACTAACGATCGTTAAACTACGAGTAATCTATATACACCAAACAAAACCATGCATGCCATTTTTCTATCTATCAATATGTCAATTTAACTGCAACATTTAAAATATGGACATGAAAAAATAATATAAAGGTTCTATGAGTCCCTACCTTCGTTTGCTCTCTTGATGTATCACTTTCAAACCATACGCAATGTAGAACTAGGCCGATTTATGATCCATTACAATTTCGAATAAAACCTGCATTGTGCAAATATACCAAATTCCAGTATATCAGACAATCAACATTTGGACATTACTTGTCATGTTATGAATTGATGCTAAACTTCACTTATAAACTTCCGTATAGACTTAATATATATACCATAATGGATGTACTCTTTCTTAGGGGTGTTATACGAGCCGAGCCCAAATTTCAGACGAGTTTTCTTTTGTGTTCATATTCGGCTTGTTTAACTAAATGAGCGAGCTCGAGCCGAGCCCGAGTCGAGCTC